GGGGCTCGATCCCAGGACCCTGGGATCACGACCTGAGCCGAAGGCAGACGCCCAACGACTGAGCCACCCAGGCGCCCCAAATTAAATTTAAATTTAAAAAGTCGGTGGGATTCAAGTGAAGAGATTAATCTATTTATCATTTTCTCTTTTGATGAGTCCCATTTGTCGGATCCCCTACTCCTCACCGAGGCAAAAGGGAAAGTCTGGGCTGGTTTGGGCCTTTAATCCCTAAACCTGTTGGCTGAAAAGAAAATGCAGGTGCCTCCCTGCATCAAAGAATGCCTGAAGTCACCCCCTGGTGCTTGTCTCCCAGACAGTGAGTCTTGTCCTCATGGAAGATACAAGCTGAAAACCACATTATCAGATATCTGGTCTACCAGCACTTGGCCATAATTGGGTGGCAGGACCTGACAGAACTCTGGGGCTGGGGGCACTGGAATTCAACAGAAATGCATATAAGAAAAAGCATATATATCCGACTGCAATTTAAGTAGATGGATGGATAGATGACAGACTGATTGCAAAATAGATTTTAAAAATGACCCAAATATTCATGATCATGTTTATGGCTATGTAGGCCACGACCCATCAACATGCAACTAGATATCCCATGGAACTACCAAAAAAGAATATCCAAGATATTTAAAGATGGGGGAAAAAACCAGAAAGTAGAAAATGATTCCTATAAACTATTTTTTAAAGTGCTAGAGTAAGGAAAAAAAATAATTAAAAACTAGTAGGCTAGAAGATTTGCACAGCCTCTACCAACTCCGTGAAGTCATGTTCCCTGGGATTTATAACTTGAGGCCCCACGTGGACTCCACACAAATGTCCTGGGAGGAAAGGTGGCCCTGAACAGCCCAGGTGCCCCTTACCTCCGGCTCAGCCTCAGGAACAAGCTGGCGAAGTTCAGTCTGCATGAGTGGCCTCTCCTCGGGATGAGGGCTGCCGGGCAGGAGAGGAGCTTCCTCCAACAGGTTCTCGGGCCCCTCCTCTGTCTCGGGGTTCACCCCGGTTTCCATGACAACACACAGCTGGCTCAATCTGCTTCGCAGCAAGGACTGCAAAAGAAAGAGAGAGGAGACGTGGATGGTGTCCCAAGTTGGGTGGTATGTCAGAGGCTGAGTCACTCCCGGCGCTGTAGACTCACAAAGGACTGATGGATCCATCTACAGACTCAGATGCTTACCTCAGGAGAATCTGGAACTCAGCCACATTCGAGAGGTCAGATAATTGCCTACAAAATTCCCTACAGTCTCTAAGAGCTTCCAAAACACTTTTCCTTCCACGTTCTCATTTGCTCTTCAAAGCGGCCTGGGTCATGGGTATCTTAATATATACCTTGCAGGTGAGCAAAGCAGAGCTCAAAGGCCTTGCCCAAAGCCATACAGGGATGAATGGGCTGGGATTGGGCTAAACCACAATCCTGACCTCAAGATCCATGACAGCACTTACAGGGCCCAGGGAAAGGCTGATCCCAAGGAAGGAGCCGAGGGCTCAGAGACAGGAGGATTGCACTCCAAACCTGGCATCACCAACCGGCCCCGTGGATGCCTTTGGGGGGCCACCGGACTTCTCAGAGGCTCAGTGTCCTTGTGTATGGGATCAGAGTAAGAGCACCCTGATCACAAATGGAAGGAAGGCATTTCAAAGAAGTGAAAGTTGTCTAAATACCCTACTTCCCTCTGCCAGAATCATATTACTACTATTAATTGTTAATATAATTGTTATGTTATCAGGAAATGTGGAAAATGCAATTAGTTGAAAAGGACACTAACTGAAATCTTGCTCAGAAGTAACAATTCCCTAGGCAGAAACAACCACTGATTCCAGGTAGGCATTCTTCCTTCCAAGTAACGTTTCCTTAGACATTTTTCCAACCTTAAGGAAATACAGTCTGTACAATTTGGCCTTCTGGTTTATTTTTGTTTGTTTTTTCGCTTATGGTATCTTACCTCTTGGCTCATCTTCATCTCTCGAATGTGTTCACACAAAAACTGCACACAGTCCTCGAGGTCGAAGTAGACAAACCAGAGCTGGGGAGAGAAGCCATGACGGCGGATGCTCAAAGCCAGCCCGACATTGAACTCTCTGTCGCTGACTACCTTCCACCTCCTGCCTCCTCCTTGCCGGAGGTCTGCCCTTCTGGGGATAAGCAAATTTATGCCCGGTCTCTGGTGGGACCGTGCCTCTCTGCTCTCTCCCAGAGTCCTCATACATAGCAGAGAGTCCTTTGTACAGATGGGAGAAAAATGGCTTTGTGTGCACATTTGGAAAATGTCCAACCCTGTTCAAAATGGCCTCAGCTCCATTTGCTCCAAGTCACTGAGCATTCCAAACCATCCTGGACATCATGTATGCATCTGGGGCTACCACCTTCATCCTCAGGGGCTGGGGTGCCCTGCTGTCTGGAGCCCCACAGGCAGATGAGTAAAACCCTCCAGTCATTCACCACCACTGCCCAAGGCCAGGCGGGAGGAGATCCAACTTGGGTGCTCTGGGAGAAGGGGAACCGGGTAAATGTTCACCCCACCTTTACCTCCCCTTCCTCCTCAACCTCAACAGTCCCCAGAAGGTCAGGTGAAACGCAGCCAGGCCGACACCCTCCACGTACACTCATTACATCTGGTTGGGTCCACACCTGCCTCACATCACAACTGAAGTTCTGTGAGAAACTGGTGGCCCACACCTCACGCCTCCAGCGACTGACCACTTCCTCTGGATCCCAGACCTCCCTCCTCCCAGTGACTGACCCATGAGACCCAGGGTAGCAACCCTCTTGCCGACTAGTCTCTCCCATTGTCTGCCTGACCCCCTGTGCACTTGGAACAAAGAAAATGACCGAGCCAGGTGGACAAAGCCTCAGCGTCTGATGTGCCGCTCCAGGAACCTTGCGTGGGCCCCTGAGTGCCCATCAAAGGGTCTGGCACAGAGGAGGCCCCCTCTGTTTGTGGAATAAATGCTGAATGAGGAGCGTGGCTTTGACGGTCTCCGAGCTCCCTTCCAGCCCTACCCCGTGCAGCTTCCAGGCTGCGGGTCACCACCCAGAGATGGGTCTCCGGGAAGAAGCTCTGGAGCAGGGAGAAAGGGAAGGGCTGCCCACGCTTGTCTCATTAGCAGACTCCAAGACACTATGCAGACCAGGGGATGCTGGGGCCCCCTCTCCCCATCAACCCAGCCATAATGCAGGCACCCAAGCCGAGGTCACTCCCAGACACAGTACCTGAATCACGCTCTGACAGCCTTCCACCGTGTCCGTCACCCCCAGCAGCACCCGGTGTCTCAGGAGGGCTCCGTTGGCAGCCGCCAGCCTAAGGTCTGTGTTGCTGTTGGCCTGTAAGACAAACACCAGGCTCGAGGCCAGATCGCCACGCTGCCATGGAGCTCCTGGGCCCTGAGCAATACCCACACACTGTCCCGCCTCCAGACGCCTGGCCTTTGAGACATATCCATCGCCCCCACCCCTAAAATGGGATTGCGGGGTTTGGAGGACAATAAATTCAATAGTGTCAGACAGCCCTGGGTTGAAGCCCAGCCCCACTACGTCCTAGCTGTGTGGCCCTGGACAAGTTACACTCCTTCCCCGAGTCTTGCTTTCTTCAGTTGTAGAATAAGGAGAAAGAGTGTCAGGGTGTCCCTGCCTCCTAGGAACATGGTGAGCTTGAACATGACTATGCGTGTGCTCTTAACCAGTGCCCAGAAACAGTCTGGTGTGCTGACAGAGATATCTGCAGGAGGAGGGAGGGGGTGGACAGGTTTGAGAGCTGCTTATTGTGTAAATAAAGCACCTACTTTCCAAAGCCCCAGGCACAGTGCCTGGCCCTCAGAAGGAGATTCTGGGAATCCATCTCCCTTCTTTCCTACCCAAACCAACCAGACACCATGGATCTAGTTGACTAAGTAGATGCTAACTAAGCAGGCCAGGGAGGGGAGGAGGGAGGAGGAGGAGGAGGACAAAGGGTGTCAGGACCCAAAGTGCTGGTTTGGGAGACCCCATAAGGATTTAGAGACGCAACTAGATGACAACCCCATCAAGGACAATCAAGGTCCCCAGGAGGGCAGGACTCCTGCAGGGAGCTTTTGAGAATTGCAAGAAGGCCCTGTGGTTGTCACAGGGATGGGACAGGCAATGTTGGCACTTAGGGACAGGGACCAGGGATGCCTTCCACTGAAGGCCGTGTCCCCTGAGAGATGATCCCACACTCGGAAGAGCAGTCTCCTGCCCTACCCAGACTCCACGCTCCCCACCGGGCATGAACACAGGTGAAAAATCTACTCTCGGTTCTGAGCGGCCAACCCAGGTCCATTTGACATGGAAACCTAAAGTGTTTTTTTATTTTTTAAATGGGTCTAAAATATAGTGAATTTTCCAGGGATGCCACAAATATGAAAACATGGGGAGAGTACATTTTGTTTAGCCTGGAGCCTTAGCAAGGGCTGCACACCCTTTCCGAAACCTGCGCCTCGGGGAGTTCAGACCCAGGCTCTGCCTCTCACCGCCTGATAACCTTGGCCAAATTACCCCCACCTCTCCATCTCCGTCTCATCTCTGAAAAACACCCTCATTCTATGAAATGAGCCAACCCGCGTAGAACACCTAGAAGAACGAACACACAATGCCCATCAGCTCATGACATCAGTTCGATGGATACTGAGTCAAAAATATCTTTTTCCCCTGTATCTTGTCGGCCACAAACGAATATTTTTAGGAACTTCCCACATGCTTTAGCAACATGCTTTTACTCCGTCTGTGCTACAAGGCAGGGTCTTGCATGCCTTCACACACCTTCCAATCCTGAGGAGGGCTAATGACGCCCCGAACAAGGGGGAAAACAAGGCAGTGCGTGCAAAATGCTCAGGCTCTCAAGGATGCTACGGTCCAAGTAGGACAGGAGGAGGGACAATGGTGGTCGGGAAGGGAGCGCTGCAAGGTTCAAGTGATGAGGGATCCAAGCAGGAAGAAATCCTTGAGCTGAGGCAAGACCCCAGGAGCCTGTGTGACCACAGACTGGTTACTTAACCTCTCTGAGCTGTGGCATCCCCACTGGCAAACAGAGTCAATAATCCTAACAGTTCATACTTATTGAGTATTTACATTACACCAGGTACTATTATAAGTACTTTGCACGTATTAAGTCATTTAATTCTCCCAATAATCTTATGAGGGTGCTCCTTTTTTTTTTAAATGTAAGCTCTATGCCCAAAGTGGGGCTTGAACTCACAACCATGAGATCAAGAGTCGCACGCTCTACCGACTGAGCCAGTCAGGCGCCCTGTGGGAGCTACAATTACTATCCCATTTTACAGACGAGGAAACTGAGGCCCTGAGGGGTGAAGTAACACCTTACCCAGCTTGCAGAGCTAGCCAACGGCAGAGGTATTCTGCCTCCTTGTCTGGTTGGTGGCCATAGGCGGCAGGTGCCAAAGGCACATAGTAGGTTCTCATTAAATGGTGGTCATTATTAGGAGTGAAAGAACCTCAGGTTCCCTGAATGAGCAAACACTGATGACAAGAGGGCCACTGCATACCCAGGGCCTCCATGTTGCACCTATGAGTAAAGACACAGGGTCTTCTTCATCTCTGTGCCATGAATACCAGCCGAGCAAGGAAGGCAAAGAAGAGGGCGGACGGCCACCATGGGCATTCCCTGAACTGCGTTCCTTACATCTGCATCCTTGAAGGCCCTGACAGGTGCCAGGTATTTCCCTTGCTCTTGCTAAGGCAGGATACTTTGCTTTTTCCCCTCGCCAAGAGAAGTTTCTCGCTGCAGGGGCAGCCAGTTTATTTTATTTTTTATATGCCAAGCACAAGAGCCATGAAAGCTTCCACGGAGCCCAAGGGCAGCATCATTTCATCAGCCTTGTCGCAAAGCCCAACAAAGATCTTTTCAGGATGATTAACTCATAAAGTTCCTAGCTGTCCCTGTGAGCATAGGAACTAAACGGAATTCATACCCCAAACTCCGACCACATTTCCCAGCATCCCTCTCCTCCCGAGTCAGGCAAGAACGGATATCCGAGTCCAAGTCTGTGCCAGGAAATTAAGGTGGTAGGTAGAATTAACGCTGCTAATTAGCTGACCTTAAAAAAAGGGAGTTTGTCCCAGATGATCCTGACAGCTCAAAGTAGTCACAAGAGGCCTCAAAAGTGGAAGAAGGAGCCAAAAGACTCAGAGTCAAAGATGTGAGAAGAACTAGACCTGCCATTTTTGGCTTTGAAGACAGACAAAGGAGTCATTAGCCAGAGACTGGAGGGGGTACTCCAGGAGCTGGAAGAGGCAGGAAATACATTCTCCCCTAGAGGTTCCAGAAAGGACGCAGCCCTGAAGTACAGAACTCTAAGATAATACGTTGCATTGTTTTAAGCCACTATGTTTCTGGTTCACCGGGGACGGTAGCCATTTGCAGACCGCCAATGCAGTAGGATATTGACTGAGAACAAGGCCTGGGATCTGAGTGCCCTGGCCTTGAATCCCAGCTCGGCCCTTCTTAGCGTGAAAGGGCTCAGTAAACCCAACATGCCCTCCCCTCCCCATCCCAGACTCTCTCGAAACACAGCTTGCTTCCAGAAAAACAACCCCCAGGGATTAGACAAAGAAAACAGAGAGGAAGTAATCACACATGTGATTTCATTTCTTTTAGTCACTGGGCCCAAGGGCCCACATGAATTTTCATGGTCGGAGAAATTCCCTGGGGCAGGGAAAAGAGAAAGATCAGAATTGGGATTCTCCCGCCAGTGCGCCCTTTCTGGAGGGAGCACGGCTGGGGTCTCCGGACAACTCACCTTCCTCTGGTGTCTCTCGAAGATGAGCATGAGGGTCAGGGTCAGGCTCATGGCGGCCAGGGTCACGAGCAGCACACCCACCCAGTGGTTCCCCAGGGCAAACATCTGGCTGGTGGAGTAGATGTTGGCCCAGACCACCACATAGAAAACCTGCGAGAAACCGGAGAGAGAGCACGATCAGGAATACTGGTGCTCGAACGAAGCCACTCCATTCAAAGGGAGACACGCTTCGGACACATCCGACGCCCTCCTTGGAGACCAAGAGCTCACAGGGCCAGGAAGGGATGATCGGGGTCTGTGAGGAGGAGCCCTTGTTCCTTGTCCACAAGCAACAGTAGAGGAAAGGGGTCAGGAGAGCTCCTCTGAATCCTTGCTTACCCTGACTTGAAATAAAGCAGAAGGAGGGCAGGGGGTCCCGGGAGTGAGAGAAATTTGAGTCAGAAACCCACACTGATCCTTCAACAGCTATGTGTGGCCTTGGACAAGTTATTGACAATGCTCTGAGCCTCAATTTCCTCATCTGTGAAATGGGGATAACACTTGCTTCACAGGTTGTTATAAGGGTTAATCAGACAATGTATGTAACAGCCTAGCACTTGTTAGAGAATTACCAAATGCCAGTAGCCATTCCTTTGCCTTCCCTAGCAGCGGACATGGGAGTAAAGAGTGCTACTGGGCCATGTGTACGTACAGAGAAGTGGCAGATCAGAGTGGTTAAGAGCACAGATGCTGAAACCAGATTGCCTGGGTTCAAATACTGGCTCTGCTATTTGTACCTATATATGTATGTGTATGTGTCTGTATGTATATACATAGGTGGATATGGATGTTCATATGTCTGTGTCTTCATGTGTGTGTGTATATATATGTATATATATATGCACATACACATAGATGTTTATACACACTCATGTAGGTATGATCAGAGCTGAAATGGACCTATCTGTTGAACAGATGGGGGAACCAAGTCCCAGGAAGAAGACAAGTCTTAACCAAAGCCAGACATTGAGTCCAAAGTCACAATGATGGGTCCTCAGATTTCCAAACCCAAGCTCTGTCCTTAGTAAGTAAATTCGGCCTCTCATCCTTTACATGGGGATCTGGTTATGACTCTCTCCCATTGATTTCCTCACACCACATCCAGGTCTGTGTGTACTGCTCAATCCCAGGCAGCTGGACCACCAGCCCCAAACCCCTTACCCACACTGACAGGCTCGGGAACACAACGCCAAATTCAGCCATGCCACAGGGGGCCACAGCAGGGTTAGGGTTAGCGCGGCCCCCCCTCCCTCCTTACCACAGCAAAGGCCAGCCGCATGGGCCTGGAGTTGTAGATGATGTATCTTCTCACTTGGGGCTCCAAGAGGGCACTTTCGGCCAAGCTCCTGTACTGGTCGGCAGGGACCTGCTTGGCCGTGCAAGGGAAAGAGACCAATCAGCCATGGGGAACCACTCCCACCTCCTTCCTGCACGCAAGCAAGTCATTTCCAGTTCATGTGACTATCAGGTGGAAGGGGGATCAGGCACCATCCAGGCTGCCCCGGAAGGCAGAATGAAGAGCTCAGAGCACTCAGACTGGGGATCACAGGATGTAGCCCTCAGTTCAGGGAAGGCTGGGCACCATGGGGGAGGTGGGACAACTCGAGATCCAGGAGGACAGCCCTGGGGGGGATCCTACAGCCCCAGGCTCAGGGCCTCACGGCAGACCCATGACAGCCTAACGGTTAAGGCTCAGGCCCTAGAGTCAGGAGTCTGGGTCCGAACCTTGGCCCTTCTATTCATGGGCCATGTGACCTGGAGCAAGGAACCCCACTTCTCTGAGCCTTAGGCTCCTCCTCTGCAAAACGAGGACCATAAGTATACCTCCCTTGCATATGCAAGGGGTGGCTTGCATATTAATTACCGTACCACATATACAATTGTTTTTTTTGTTTGTTTGTTTGTTTTAAAGATTTTATTTATTTATCTGACAGAGCGAGAGAGGGAACACAAGCAGGGGGAGTGGGAGAAGGAGAAGCAGGCTTCCCGCAGAGCAGGGAGCCCGATGCGGGGCTCGATCCCAGGACCCCAGGGATCATGACCTGAGCCGAAGGCAGACACCTAACGACTGAGCCACCCAGGCGCCCCCCACATATACAATTGTAACACGTATATTATAAAATAAGTGTACGTATAACATGTACATACATATGGACATTTGGGGGGGACCTTTGTTCTGCCTACTCCAGTGGTTATGTGTTACTTTGACAGATGTGTGTATACAGCTCAAGGTACTGAAAACTGGCACCTTCCTGCCCCCCCAGCCCCAGAAAAAATGGCATAGCATATAAAAGCCCTACAAGAGTGGACTGCTTAGGAAAATAGAATTTAGGGGTGCCTGGGTGGCTCAGTCCATTAAGTGTCTGCCTTCGGGGCTCAGGTCATGATTCCAGAGTCCTGGGATCGAGCCCCACATCAGGCTCCCTCCCAGCAGTGGGGAGTCTGCTTCTCCCTCTCCCTCTGTCTCCTGCTCTGCCTACTCGTGCTCTATCAAATAAATAAATAAAATCTTTAAAAAAAAATAGGATTTAACCATTAAAGAGGATATTTAGGAATATGGTAGAATATTATGTAAATTGTTCCCTGGTTAGGGAAACCCCATCTGCAGACAACAGTTTAAGAAAAATGTTCTTTTGGACAAAGGCTGAATGATAAACTGGATGATAAACCAGCCACTGTTGCTGGTGTGGGCTTAGTACCGTCAATTTGAGAAGTTTCCCTTTGAATGATAAGATGTTGATTGAAACAGGAACACAATTCCGTTCGAAAGAAGTAAACTCTAAAATCAGGGTAAAATTAGCTCTGTGTCTTTCCCCTCCATAACTGGTCCTCCCTAGGTGGTGCAGGGGAGGGCCTGGTGACGCTGGGGGCTTCGGGAACAGAGACCGTCACAGCTATGGCTACTTTGTAACAACAGCGACACCTACAATGTATAGAACATGTACTATGTGCCAGACAGAGTGCAACTATTTCTCAAGCACTATTTCACTTCCTCTCACAAAAACCCCAGGTAATAGGTATGAACATTGCCCTCATTTTATAAAGGATGGAACCGCCGCTCAGAGAGGTTAAGTCACCTGCAGAAAGTCACGCAGGCAGGAAGCAGCAGAGCTGGATCTGCACCCAGACCTACGGGTCTGAGAAGCCTATGCCTCAAATCACTATGCTTGAAAGCACTGCATTACCATCTAATGAATCCAGGCACCTTCCCTTTGAGTATACAGTTCCCTCTTCTGAAATGCCCTTCCTCCTGTCTACCCAGCAAACTCCTACTTTTCTTTCAAGACCCCAGATCAAGTATCTGCCCCTCCGTGACGCTTTCCTAACCACTGCTTCCCCAGGAGAGTTCATCATTTTCTCCTGTGAATGGCTTCAGCACCTTATACGGTCCGCTACCACGGTGTTGAGATCCTGCTGTCCTGCCGTACCTGGCGTGAGTCCATCTCCTGCACTGGGCTCTATGAGCAGTACAAGCCCAGGCGCTGGGTCCCGGTCACTGCCGTGGTACCTAGCACCCAGCTCAGCGCCTGGCAAAGGATGGGCGCCCCCAAACACCTATCTGTTAAGTGAAGTAACTGGGAGGAGGGGACACTTCCCATACATCCTCCTTACCTGCCCCACCCCACGGAGCACAGAGTCCGTGTTGAACGAATATTTTGTGAACAACTGGATGAAAGGATAGATGGATGGGCAGACAGGCGGGTGGATGGAAGGAAGGAAAAAATGGCAGAGGGTCTCAATAAAATGAGCACTCACCTGAATGCCCCATGTCTGCAGTTGCTCCTCCACGGCGCCCAGATCGAAGGAGATGGGTGCACAGGTATTGTCGATCCGGAGAACCGTGAGCACCTGGCCATTGCGGAGCTCTGAAAACAGACTGGAAGCTTCAGCTGGCTGGGTGAGAATTACCGTGGACGAGCCCAGAGCCTGCTGGCATCACCTCCTCTGGCTGTGAGACCCTTACTCATGGCAAGGAGGGACTTCGAATCCCTATGCGAGAAGCACTGAACTTGTCAAAAAACCCCTGCGGAGGCAGAACTGGGACCAGAACGTGGAGGCGATCTGGACACAAGGCAAGACCAGAGAAGGAAGAACTTGCCAAGAATGAGAGCCAACAAAGAACTGGAGGAAGCGAGCTCCCCATCACAAAAGAGACTTAAACAGAGACTGAACAACAACTACACGGAAAAGGTGATGTATCAGACATTTGTATGATCACCGCAAAGGAAGCTCACCTATATATTACACTCACAGTGAGCTCAGTCTGACTGGGGTAGGCAGAACAATGAACCCCCAAAGATGTCCTCGCTGTACTCCCCAGAGCCTGCGAATAGGTTACCTTACACAGCAAGGAGAACTAAGGGTATAGATGGAATTAAGGTTTCCAATCAGCTGGCCTGAAATAGGGAGATTCTCCTGGATTGTCTGGGTGGGCCCGATGTAATCACAAGGGTCTTTAAAAATGTCGGGAGCGATGTGATGGGGAGAAGAGAAGCACAGAGCTGGAACGTGGCTGCCTTTGGAAATGGAGGAAGGTTCACGAGCCGAGGAGCGTGTGCGGCCTCTGGAAGCTGGAAAAGGAAACAGACTCTCCCCAGGCTCCTGCAGGAAAGCAGCCTGGCTGACATGCTGACACGGGGCTATAGCTCAGTCCACACTTCGAACCTCCAAAACTAGAAGAAGATGGATTTGTGTTTTGCAAGCCCTCTGTGGGTGGCAATTTGTTACAGCAGCTACAGAAAACTAATACGCTGATTCTTTTTTTCCTAAAGATTTTATTTATTTGTCAGAGAGAAAGAGAGAGCACAAGCAGGGGGAGCGGCAGGCAGAGGGAGAAGCAGGCTCCCCGCTGAGCAGGGCGTCCAATGCGGGACTAGATCCCAGGACCCTGGGATCATGACCTGAGCCGAAGACAGACACTTAACCAACTGAGCCACCAGGCACCCCCTAATACACGGATTTACTGGTAACCCCGTCCCCAGGGTATCTGCAACTCACTCAACATTTCAAAAGCACTAACTGAATTAAGTCGAACCTCAACAAACACTCCGCATCAACCCAGCCTGGTCACAACAGCTATCAAAACTCTCCCCACAGGACCACGAGGAGGCCACGGGTGGCAAAGAGGCCAGACCAGTGAGGCCAGCTGGGGTGAAAGCTCTGGACTGAAAGCCCCTCAGGCCCAGGGAGGACCAGCCACGGAATGAAACTGCATCTACCTTCTGATCTGAGTAGAGAGACTCTGGACAGAAGGATCGAGATCTCCTTCCACCAAAGCATGAGGCCCCATGAGCCACAGGTCAGATCAGCAGGCACGGGGCTGGGGGATGCCGGTGTTCGGCCATGCAAGGCTGGGGAATGGTATGCTGGCACATTTTCTGTGGGCACGGCTCAGAAGATAAAGCAGCACGGAAGAGATCAAACCATCAGTATGTTATCTGCTGGCCCAAACCTGTCCCCTCAGAGGCTAGCTCTGGGCAATACCTGAGTCTTTAAAGCAAAATGCCTAGTCCTACCTGCCTGGAAATTCCTGGCCCACCCACTCTCTCTACCCCTTCACGCAGCCCCTCTCTGGGCCCTGTCAACTGGGCCAACAGAACATCTCTCAATTCCACGCACCTCTTTGCATGTCCTCCACAAGACTGGGCCAGACCTTCACTCTCCGTCGTGACCTTGTGGCGGCCTCCTCATTGGCGTCTCCATACCTACTCCTCCCACCTACAATGCACTCTCCACACAACAGCCAGCACACAAACTGGAGGACATCGATCCTCTGAGTAAAACTTTCAATAGCTTTTTGGTGCTCTACTGACAAAAACCAACCTCCTTACCACTCTCCCAGCCCTTAGAACCAGCCTCCTGCTAAACTCACCTCAGGCCATTCAGTGCTGTGTCTGGCCACAACAGCCTCCTTTGTTCTTGGAACATGTGACGTTCTCTCCCACCCCAGGGCCTTTGCATATGCTGTTCCCTTTCCCTAGAACACTTCCATTGGACTTCACACAGTTAAACCGTACTCATCAAGGGTATCCCAATTCATTAACCACTTCCTCAGGGAGTCTTCCCTGACACTATACCCTTAACAGATCAAATCCTGCTAAACCTACTCAGAACTGCTCTTCTCATCAAGAATAAGTACATATATTTGCAACTATTTGCTTACATATGTATTTAATTAGGTTGACTAAAGCCTATCTTCCGCACCAGACTATGTACTCCCATACTGGTTCTGTTCATCACCAATCCCCTGAGCTGGGTTCAGTACTTGCATACAGTAGGCACTAAATAAATGTTTGATGTATAAATGAATTGATAGGAGAGAACTCTGGTCCCCAACCCCAATAGGGTTGTTTTTTTAATGCCCTGGGGTATCGCCTATGAGCTCGAATGACAGAGCATTCGACCCCCTGCCAAAAAGAACTTTATCTGCTTTCCTCTTTTTTTTTTTTTTTTTAAGGTCTTTGCAAGAGGTGAGGGGTATGGAGGCAAGGTGGCAAGGCAGGGAAAGCACACACTAGAGAGCTTTAGGATTCGAAGTGTAGCCCAGCCTCTCGCTCACAGAGGAGCCTTGAAGAAGTGACCTGAATCCCTGGCCGGATTCCTCACTTGGAGGGGGATCATATCCGCCACAGAGGACTTTACAGAGAAATAAGAGGATGAAAATAAAGGCTTGGCACAACATAACTAGCCACTATTGTTGCCAATTTTTTTTTCTTTTTTTTAAAGATTTATTTATTTATTTGAGAGAGCGAGAATGAGAGAGAGCACATGAGAGGGGGGAGGTCAGAGAGAGAGAAGCAGACTCCCCGCCGAGCAGGGAGCCCAATGCGGGACTCGATCCCGGGACTCCAGGATCATGACCTGAGCCGAAGGCAGTCGCCCAACCGACTGAGCCACCCAGGCGCCCTATTGTTGCCAATTTAAAAGCAAGCTTGTCAGGACTCAAAAGTTGCAATAAAGCAATCCACGCGCATGGGTTTAGTCGTATTTGTTCTTACCTTCCCACACCTGCTCCAGGAAGGATTTAAGGTCACTTCATACAGTAAAACAGGAAAAGATAAAATTAGATTTAAAAATAAGCAAATGAGAGAAGCTGGACAAGAAGAAAATAAAGGCAGAAAGAAGACCGAATCAGGTAAAATAAGACTAGCTTCCAGGTGTTGAACCCTCACCAGGCACGAGGCAGGGAGCTTGGGCTTCAAGGTCCCAATCGCATTTCAGCCTCTGAGAGCCCTCAGAGATGGATACCATTATCATGGAAAAGGGAACAGAGCCTCTGAAAGGCAAACAGGCCTGCCCAAAGCTACCAGGGGAAATGAAAGTAAGAAAGAGAAGCAGCTGGAGCCAAGGCAGTGCCCAAAAGGCAGGCAGGCAGGCCAGGCGGGGCCACAGATTAGCTCTGCATTTCACGGCACAAAACACAAGACCCACGTGGACCGGGGCACCAGGGCTGCGGAACATCAACTGCTCCCCTAGACTGGCTCTTTGCACCCTGAGGAAAATGCTTTGCTCTAGCAACGCCAAGATTTTTTGAGGTGTCTTTGTTTGCCTTTCAAACCAAGCTCCTGGATTCTTGGCAATAATCTCTCTCATCTGTTCCTTAGAGTGGGAACAGCAAGTCTCCACTTAGAGATACTTTTTTTACAACTAGATAAGAAAAAGAGCTTGAAAAGCTACCAAAGAAGTGGGAACGCACACAAGTGTGTATGCGTGTGTGTGTGTGTGTGGCAGGGAGCAATTTCCTACAAAGGAGCAAGAACTGGCTTGCCAAAAACCAGTGGGGCAATGTCTTCAAAGTTCTAAAGAAAAATTATTTCATCCCATTTTATTCTAATGGTGTGTACGTGTGTGCGTGCACACGTGTGTGTGCATGTGCGCGTGTGTAAGTGTGTAAACTGCTTTCCCAATACCAGTAGTAGTAAAAGAAACCCTTTTAGTTTAGTAATAGTCAAGTTTCAAATCATCTAAGTAACCAGCCACAATTCAAAATGCCTACCCCGAGCCGCCCATTCATTCTGTTCACTCAGTAAGTGTCTACTGTGGGCCAAGCCTGTGCTAGATACTGCAGATGCAGGGATGAACAAGGCAACACAGAGCCCCTGCCCTCATGGAGCTGACATTCTAGTGGGGAAGCTGGACATTCAACACTTTATGACACAGGTCATTATTTAATTACAGACTAGGTAGGGTAAGTGCTGTGGGGAGAAGCAGGAATATATCAGGGAGTCCTGACTTAGGATTCCCCACGCAAGGGATATCTGAACTGAGCTCTGAAGCAGGACTAGAAATTAATCAGAGGTAAGAAGGCAAGGCAAGAGCATAACAAGCAGAAGAAACAGCAGATGCAAAGGCCCTGAGGCAGGACAGCATGCCAGGAACGGAGAACAGGGGCAGCAGGAACCACTAAGGCAGGCCTTGCAAGCTGGTGATGGAAAGATCTTCACATTAAGTCCCGTGGGAAACACTGAAGCAGAAAGTGACATGGTCTGTTCTGCATTTTTAAAAGCTCTCCCTACATGCCATATAAATGGAAGAGGCAAGGAGGAGAGATCAGCTAGGAAGATAGGGCGGCAGGGGTCCAAGCAGAAGGTGACAGAGACTTGGTCTACAAGATGGGGATAGAGAGAATGGATAGAAATGACAGACTGGACTGTAAGTGTATCCCAAAATGCCCACCCCTAGCTAAAGGCCCTTCTGTGCCCTCCACGCCCCCCCTCCTTCCATTGTGCTATGTGAGTCCAGCTCCGCATCCTGGGGAGAGGGGGAGGGGGAAAAAAGAGTCATGACCTTACCTTGCCCCCAGCCCGGAGGACTCCCTCCAGGCAAGGCGCTCCAGCCCGGGGAGGAGGTGGGCAGTGGGCTGGCTGCCCCGCTGGGGCCCATTGGTGGTTCACAGGCCATAGCCGAGCGCCAGCTGGGCTCTACTTCCCCTTCTTGGAGCTGTGATTCATTCTGGAGCAGCCAACGCCGCTTCGCTTGCCTTCAGAAAACAGCACAAGAAAGAACTTCAGGCCCGGGCTGGCTGGGTTCCTTGGCTCCTCCAAGGCCAAAGTCATCCCAAGGCCAGAGAGAGCCACCGAGAGTCCTTCTACTGACTTGGCTCTTTCCAGTCATACTGAGGGGCATTCTCAGGAGTGAAGAAGAAGAAATAAAACCCTCCTCCAGGGGAGAACTGAGAACTTCCCTCTGGTCTTGGGTCTTCTCCAGCTCAGACACATCCAGGCACTCACCGGGAACTCAAGAAGTGAGCAGGCCCTGCTCCCAGGCATCTGGGATTTCTGTTCCCTTACTGACAGCAGCCCAGGCACCCCAGGCAACCAGACGCAGGACCAGTATATCCATCATGGGAAGCCTTGTTTATGCAAAGGATCTCAAATAGCTTCCCAGAAGACATTACAAAATACAAATGGAAAAAAAAAAATCAGGATGGGGGGAAATACAGATTACAAAAAATAAGAGTAATAACAACAACCATGAAGAACAAAAATACCCAGATATTCAGGCAATCAGAGTCCCTAGCAGAGGCAGCGGAAGTCTGCGCTGAAGAACATGAGCTATTACTGTAAACAATACTTCTACTACCTACTCGTTACATAAACCTGGGCAAGTGCTTTAGCCTCCAAGAGATTTAGCTCCCTATCCTCAAACAGTGGTGTCTTCCCCACCAGGCTGCTACAAAAGAATCGGTGGCAGGATCTATATAAAGCACAGACAAGGGCATCTGGAACAAAGGAGGCACCCCACAAATACAGCTCTCACTGTTGTTGTTTCGGGGTTTGGCACAGTTGCCATGCCTGAGCCAACAATTTGGTTTTGAGCTTCCGGGCGGCCAAAGCTAAAAGAGAAATACTGCCGGTGAAGCAGTCGCAGGCAGTTCCTGTTATCTACAAGGAGGTAAGAAACAGGACAGTGAGGAAAGCAATGCATCTTCCTGGCACCTAGCTCCAAAAGGTCTCGGAAATGCTTTTTCCAAAGCCGTGGGAGCTGGGTCAGTGACAACACAGTGGGCAAGATCATGACCCTAAGACACTTTCGTCCGTAAAGCAGAAATGTCCTTCATGGGGATTCTCTTGATGCCAAAGCAGAGTCTCCAGCGCCACATTCTCTGGCTGGAGCCTGCACACTCATTCTTTCTGTTATGTGTCCACTTGGGGCCCTGACAAATCACCCATCGCCAAGGAAGACCATGCCTGAGTCCCTGGGATGACACACTGGCCTGGCTACCCGTCTTGGTGAAAAGTCCAGTAGAACTGGGTTTTGCTGCCATGGTTCCTGATGCTGGTTGAAAACAAGCGTCCGGTTGGCCCACGTCTGCTTGGTTCCAAGCTGGCCTGGGGGCTGACCGCCATGGCGCAGGTCCCCTAACAAGCCTGACTCCCATACCCCCACCGCCCTCCATTTCTCTCAGTCTTTTAAAAAGGACCGGCTGCATCATCTGTGGGGCCCGGTGCATAATGAAAATGTGGGGGTCCCTTGTTCAAAAATGACGAAGAAATTCAAGACGGTGACAGCAGAGCATTCCACCAGGTGAGGGGGTGGCTTTCTAAGTGGGGAGCCTGTGTGACGGATCAGGCTGCAGGCACCTGGAGCCAGCTGTGAGGTAAGCTCCAGAAGATCACTTGGGAGCCCCGTCCACCAACCAAGAATATACAAAAATGAGCCGTTGGCTACCAAGTATCACACACCTGTCCTGTACCCGGCTCTGGGGCCAGAAAGCAACAAAATGTTATGAAAAAGCAAGGACTTGAACACCAGAGAGGCTGGATTCTGAATCCCTGCTCAGCCCTGTCACATGCTCTGTGGCAAGGTACTTCACTCCCTGAACCTTGCTGTCCTCATCTGTAAAATGGCTTCAGGGAACCCCACCTAGCACAGATGCCCCAGGGACAATGGAAGGAGACACAGGGTTGACATCCAGTACCCTGCTCACCCAACAGGCCTCTTGCCTCAGAAGGAGAGAAAACGGAGAGGCAAAGACGTAAAGAAACCTGCCCACGGTGGGGTGGCTGGAAGCCAGAGGGCCAAGAGGGGAACCCAGGCCATCTGGCTCCAGAGTCCAAGCCCATAAATCCTAGGCCCTGAGCCTCCGGACCCAGGTCTCTGAGCCTGTTCTTTAATCCACCCTAAAAAAAGAAAAGAAAAAAAGGGTGGGTCGGGGTGCCTGCACAGCAAACTCCTGCTGGTTTCTGACATTCCATCTTCCCCTTCCCCTAGCCTAAGGCCTGCCCACAGCAGGCATTCCCAAATACTGCTGAGCATTAACCAGTCAACTGCACCACCCCTTACTTCCTTCCTCGTAGCTTGCACCCCCCTCAAGAGGTATAAAACCTCGACAACAGCCTGAGGAAGTCGGCCCTGAACTTGACAATCTCAACCATCTCGGAAGCCCTTCCCTGCCTCCTCTGTTCACCTCCAGGGCCCACGAGGCAAATATAATCCTTGGGCCCATTTCCCAGACAAGAAAACTCACCTTTCCCAGACATCCCAGGGATGTTAGAGCTAGCAGCCTGCAGCCCAGAGAAGCTGCACTGGTGTGTCAGAGAGGCCTGTGGGACCCAGGAGCCCACACCCCCTCCTCCAGGCAGGAGGGACCACCCCCAGGCTGGAGCTGCCCAGATATCCTTCCCCCGCGGAAAGTTTCCATTGGTTGCAAAAATCCCACAACTAGTGTATTTGGGGAGAAATCCCAGCACCCCAGTTGGCCCAATTAGCCTCCTGCAAAGTCTCAATCGGAATTCATTCATTCATCTGAAATAAGGAGTAATGGTTAAAAAGTACCAGTCCAGTCCTGCCATTTCCCACCTGTGTCACCTGGAGCAAGTCACTTAACTCTCTCTGCCTCGGTTTCTTTACATGTAAAGGGTGATAATATGGTAACCGAGGCTAAAAGAGTTCACGCATGTACATCACTCAGAGCAGCATCGGGCAAATAGGAATCGCCCAAGGAATACAGCTGTCACTATTTTTACTCCACAAACATTCCCTAAGAACCTTGAAGTGTCAGGCCCTGTGCTTTCTCAACTCAAACACCAAAAATAAAATCTAAAGTCCTTGGTCAGCCCTCCCTGCCTGGGATCCCATCTGGTGGGAAAGATGAACTCAGAGAAAGAGAAAAAAGAGACAATGACCAAACAAGGCAGTCGGAGGGAGCGGGCAGTACCTTGATGTGGGAGAAAGGCTTTGCAAAAGTGGAGGTGAGAGAAGGACTGCCAAGTAGAGAGAGGTACAGACCAGAGGCCAGGATGGGCCCAGCGACGGCCCTCTGCACTCACCCTGCAGCCCCTGGTCCAACCTGGAGGCTGCAGAGGGTGGAAGGGGGGTTGGCAACACCAGCCTTGGGCAGATGTGGACCCATCACCTTCCAGTGTGTCCTGAGCCCACCATTGTGCTCAGCCCTGCACCAGCCCTAGGGGGACTTGGGAGACAGAGCCAGACACCAGGGTGGAGACGGAGCCAGCAAGTGAACACAGCCCGAGGCTCCTGCAACTAACCGGTCATCCACTCCCCACTCCCCGGTTTCCTTAGTTTCCTTTGCTGATTCTGCATTTTAACCAGACCTTCCAGTAATGCTTCTTTCTTAATTAGCTGGTGAGCCCCTGAAAAGGAAGATATCGTTAAGCCCCTGAGCAAAGGTCTCCATTTCTGGAGACAGAACGCCCGGTCTCCCCAGGAACCGTGTGCCTCACTGCGATGGACGTGTGAGAGAGAGAGCGAGAAACAGCTTACAGTTTTCACAAATCAGGTTTTGTTTTTGTTAAATTGGAAAACCCCAACAAAAGGCCATAAGAGGGCCTGACACTTAAGTTTTAGGGTGGAAAAGCCTTGAAAGACAATAGGTCCTAGCTCTCCATTTTGCAGATGAGGAAATTAAGACCCAGAAATGAAAGTGAACTATCCAAGGTCAAACAGCCAGCCCAGGACGGAGTCTGAGCGATAGAGGGTTCTTTCGGACCGGGATGTCCCACCACACCTGGCCTTGGCCTTGGACAGCTGTCTCACCCCAGTCTCTGCCTTCAAGTCCTGTCCGGGGGCCTGCTGCCCAGAGTCTCCTTCTCCCCGGAAATCCCCGCCCCCGGCCCCGGGCCCCGGGCCCCCAGGAGCC